TTCGTATGTTTGTTGTTATTATAAATGTTGTAATTAAAAAAATAAATATTTTTATTTAGTGAACATTTTAGATTTAAAACTGACTACAAGAGAGCCTAAGATTAAACCCATATATGTTTATATTTTAACTAAATTGCACTTTATTTCAAAAAGTATATTACAAAAAATATTTTCAATGAATTTCAAGAATTATTAAATTCAATTAATTAATTGTATGACAGAGGGAAATTGTAATAAAAGCAATAATATTGGTATAACACAGGGGTGTCCACACTCGGTCCTGGAGGACCGGTGTTCTGGAGAGTTTAGCTCCAACCCTAATCAAACACACCCGAACAAGCTAATCAAGCTCTTATTAGGTATACTAGAAACTTCCAGACAGGTATGTTTAAGCAAGCCGGAGCTAAAGTCAGCAGGACACCGGCCCTCCAGGACCGACTTTTGACACCCCTGGCATAACAGGTACAAATCAGGATTGAAAAAGGTCTGATACAATCTCACTAAGACCTAATAATATTTGTTTTGTTTTTCTGCAATTACCATTGATTTTGGTGTATTCCAAACTCCAGCGTGTAGGATTTTAAAGAAATTTCAGCTGGATAGATTGATCCAGACACATTTTCAGGATAAAAATATTGTTAATATTAGTAATATGCATACTTTCTTTCCCCTTCTATCAGCTTTTTAAATATTAATAACAAACACATCAAAACAAACTGGCAGACAATCCACAATTTTAACCATCCTGAAGAAGAGAAGAACATTCGAATAAATAAATATACACTTAAATATATTATTATTAGTTTTATTAATAATATTAGGACAATTAGGACCTATAATAAACTCAAAATACTGCTTAAAGATGCATTTGCTTTCTGTTTTTGTCTATTTTTGTTCAGATTTTTTCCCAAACATACGACTAATACAAGTAACCATTTTTGACGAATATTTATATTTATAAGTGTAAATATTTACATTTACCACACAATGGTGAATAGCTTAAGTTATACTTTATATACATAATTATGAAACAAAATCACAACTTTATAATCTCTCCATCCATCTGACAGATAGTCCCCAAACTCACACCATTGGAGACGGAAGTTAAGTCATGGCTCCCGAACAGTTATTATTAGTGTTGTTAATAATATTAATAAAAAATACATAAATGCATAACATAAAAATCAATTGGGACATATAATAAACTTAAAACACTACTTAAAAATATATTTGCTTTTTGTTTTTGTCTATTTTTGTTTACATTTTTCCTCTTTTTCCAAACGTGTCTATATCTGCTGAATAAGCTCTAATTACAGCACAGCTCCATAGTAAATGTGTGTAATCTCCTACTTACACTTTACATTTAACACATAGAGGTAAATTACGTGAATTATACGTAATTATGAAACAAACTCACAACTTTATGATCTCTCCCTCCGTCTGCCAGATATCCCCGCCCCCAAAGTCAGAAGTTGTCAAGTCATGGCTCTCGAAACAAAACACTCTTGTGTTTTAAAACTCTTGAGGAAGTGTCAAACCTACAAATGATTAACTCGCAGAGACTGAACATTAAACTGATTCAGCGCTCATCAGCAGACACAAGCCGTCAGTCTGGATCCTCTCGCTGTCTGAGTGACGTTCAGTTTAATATTCGTTTATCATCTATTCAATTCAAGCTTATTTGCATGGCACTGTTCACAATGATTACTATTTAAATTACATTGCAATCAAAACCTCTAAGTGTGTGTGTGGGTTAGGGTTATAATAATAATAATAATAATAATAATAATAATAATAAAAATAATAATTTCTTACATTTTATAGCACTTTTCTGGACACTCAAATCGCTTTACACATTTTTGAGGGGAATCTCCTCATTCATCTAACACCAGTGTGCAGCATCCACCTAGATGAAGTGACGGCAGACATATTTCACCAGACCGCACACCACACACCAGCTGATTGGTGGAGAAGAAACAGAGTGATGAAGCCAATTATATTATGGGGTTGGTTAGGAGGCCAGTGGGCAAATTTGGCCAGGATGCCGGGGTTAAACCTCTACTCTTTTTCAAAGGATGTCCAAGGATTTTTTTTAACGATCAGTCTCGGTTTAACGTCTCATTTGAAAACAATAAACATACTATATAAACATACAGAGAGATTAAATGAAAGAATAACAAAACACTTAAATAAAAGCAATAAACACTCCCATATATGTTCATATTGCAGATACAGTTGAAATCAGAATTATTAGCCTTCCTGTATATTTTTTCCCCAATTTCTGTTTAACGGAGAGAAGATTTTTTTCAACACATTTTTAAACATACTAGTTTTAATAACTCATTTCTAGGGCCAGACAGAATTTGCGGACGTTTTTTGCTATTTCTGCAGAGAATTTTGCTACAAATGTGTGGATTTATGCGTAATTATTTTGGAAGTGTCATAACTAAAACCTTAATATATGAACTAAAAAATAATATATTTTTAACTTTAATGTTTAAAGTGCAAATCTAATTAGATCCACTTTATTTGGTAAACAAAGCAAGTCTCTCATATAATATCTCTACTGAAAGACAGAAAATATGACTGTACAAACTGCATTGTACATAAATCAGATGAACATTTTCACATTAGTCAATAATAATACTGTAATTAATTTAAAAACTGAATAAATATAGATTTACACACATTTACACAAGTAAATATACAGAATTAATCATGGGCAAAAAATCTGAGGAATTGTACAGAAAATTTAATTCCATGTGGGCCTATAATTTCTAATAACTGATTTATTTTATCTTTGCCATGATGACAGTAAATAATATTAGACTAGATATTCTTCAAGACACTTCTATACAGCTTAAAGTAACATTTAAAGGCTTAACTAGGTTAGGTATGTTACGTACTAGGCAGGTTAGGGTAATTAGGCAAGTAATTGTATAATGATGGTTTGTTCTCTAGACTATCGAAAAAATATTTAGCTTAAGGGGCTAATAATTTTGTCCCTAAAATGGTGTTTAAAAATGTTAAAACTGCTTTTATTCTAGCTGAAATAAAACCAATAAGACTTTCTCCAGAAAAACATTATTTGGGAAATATTTAAAAAACAAACAAAAAAAAAAAAAAATTAAAAGGGAGGGTAATAATTCAACTTTAACTGATTTATTTTATCTTTGCCATGATGACAGCACATAATATTAGACTAGATATTCTTCAAGACACTAGTATTCAGCTAAAAGTGACGTTTAAAGGCTTAACTAGGTTAATTAAGGTAAAGTTAGAATAAATAGGCAGGTCATTGTAAAACATTGGTTTGTTCTGTAGCTAATACAAAACAAGTATTGCTTAAGGGGGCTAATAATATTGACCTTAAAATGGGTTAAAAATAATCAAAAGAAAGTCTTAATTCAAAAAATAAGACTTTCTCCAGAAGAAAAAATTATATAGGAAATGCTGTGAAAAAAAATCCTTGCTCTGCTAAACATCATTTGGGAAATATATATATAAAAAAGAATAAAAAGTAACAGGGAACAGGACGTTTTGAACTCTATATAATACATTTGTAATGAATAATCTCTCACCTGGAAGATTATGGGAAGCTTGGTGTTCCTTTTTAAAAAATTTTATTGAGCTGATACTTAAATACAAGTGAGTACACGACATGTGAAATATATTTATTTATTCATTTATTTTCGGATAGAATAAAAGAAGTTTTACATTTTTACAAAATCCTTTTAAAGTCAACATTATTACCCCTTTTAAGTTTTTTTTTCTGGATAGTCTACAGAACAAAACTATCGGTTTACAATAACTTGCCTAATTACACTAACCTGCCTAGTTAACCTAATTAACCTAGTTAAGCCTTTAAATGTTGCTTTAAGCTGTATAGAAGAGTCTTAAAGAATATCTAGTCAAATATTTACTGTGATCATGACAAAGATAAAATAAATCAGTTATTAGAGATGAGTTATTAAAACTATTATGATTAGAAATGTTTTAAAAAAATCTTCAGTCCGTTAAACAGAAATTGGGGGGAACAATAAACAGGGGGGCTAATTATTCTGACTTCAAGTGTGCATGTGTGCGTGTATGCGTGTGTGCGTGTGTATGTATGTGTGTATGTATGTGTGTATATATGCGTGTGTGTGTGTATATGCTGGATAATAATGGAATGCAGTTATGTAAACAACCGTAAAGCTTGGTGTTTCTGTAGTTTTTTTCTTTCAGTTGTCGTCAGCATCAGTGTTTCCCCAGGCATCGGCGACACACGATCAGCCATGAATAATTAACTCACAGATCAGCTCCAGTGAAAGTTTCTCCTCAGTTCGGTTGTGATGTCACTGAACAGAAGTTATCAAGCAGCTGAAATCTGGCAGCTCTTTTACAAGATAACAACACTGTCATGACTGAGAATAGCTGCGTTTCCATCCACTTTTGTGTGTGTGTGTATATATATTTATATATATATATATATATATATATATATATATATATACATACATATATACACAGTTGGAGTCAAAATCACTTGCTCTCCTGTTAAATTGTAATTCTTTACAAATATTTCCCAAGTGCTGCTTAATGCGGAAGATTTTTTTTTTCAACACATTTCTAAGCAATAGCTTTAATAAATAATTACTCAAAATAAGCAGGCAACATATTTTCAGATCTAATTAAGTGTAATGCAGACAAATAAAAGGTGCAAACATTTAATCTTTAAAACACTATGAAAGAGTGAACACCTCAGCAGATATTCTGATTGGCTGATTTCCCGCCATTAGTGTAGCAAAGCAGCAACTCTGGGGGGGAGGGCGGGGCTAAAGATATTACTTCCCCATCTGATTGGTCAAATGTAAATAAACAACGTTTGCGTAAAATGTCATTTATGAAACACATCTGTGATATGCTTATTCCATATGCTATTATTGGGATAAGGATACTTAAGTGATGTATTGTGCAGCTGTAATGCTCATGTCTTATGTTGTGTGTGTTGTGTGCAGGAGTCAGCGTAGCCGCATGTCATGGCCTGCAGTGTTGCTAAAGCAGCTCCTGCTAATGGCTTCCCAATGAAGGCTCAGCTGCAGATCATGGGTGAGTTTGCGTTCTCGATTAATCTGATCTAACTGACTTTCTCATCAGATGTCATCTACAGATTACAGGGCTGATGGATTACATTCAGTCAGACGATTTAATTCATTGCTAATTTATATGAATTGCATTATATTTTGATCCATTATTAATTGGATATCAATATTTCATCTACAATTTGAGTTTTGTAGGTGTGGAATTCAGCATTTAATATTAAGGCTGGTTACTGAAACTCTGCAGCTTGGGTATATTACTGAAATACACATTTAGACTACATTTAAATAGATTTTTAAACTTAATTTGTACTTTTATTTTAAATAATAATCACTGTAACAACAAATCACTAATATGTGCATTCAATATGAAGGACTTTACTTAAAAAAACACTGTAACTGCTTCAGTGTAATGGTTTTACTCAGATTTTCTTAATAAATACATTTATTTTTTCAGCTTTATTTACAATAATACAAATATTGTTATAGTGACTCTGTTAAGGGACTGCAGGTGAAAAATACACACTTGGCACACTGTTTTTTGTATTACTGTGCATTGTCCCTGTCAAATAAATGGCATAGAAGGCATTACGGTGGTGCAGTGCGTAGCACGATCGCCTCACTGCCATAAGGTCGCTGGTTTGATCCCAGGCTTGGTCAATTGGCATTTCTGTGTGAACTTAGCATGTTCTCCCCGTGTTGGAGTGGGTTTCCTTCGGGTGCTCCGGTTTCCCCCACAAGTCCAAAGACATGTGATATAGATGGATTGGGTAGTCTAAATTGTCCGTAGTGTATTTGAATGAGTGTGTATGGTGTTTCCCAGTAATGGGTTGCTGCTGGAAGGGCATCTGCTGCGTAAAACATGAGCTGGATAAGTTGGCGGTTCATTCTGCTGTGGCGACCCCAGAATAATAAAAGAACTAAGCTGAAAAGAAAATGAATTAATAAATGATAAATGAAATACACTCTAAAAAATATTGTTTAGACCAAACAAACAAAATTAATGCAATAGTTTGCATTAATATATTGAAGTTACGACAACATCCAACAAAATGAAGTTCAGACAACAAACTCTATTATGTTAGCCAAATCTTTTCCTCTTCAATCAGAGGCATTTTACATAGCAAAACCTTTAAATCTTTAAGTTGAGTACTCAAATTTTTTTATTTTAATGTTTTTTATTTTAAAATTGAAAACAAGTCCAGTGTTATGTAATTAATTACATGCACATTTTCAAGTTTAGAACCTCAACTAAATTAAGTAGCCGAAATTGTTAAAACTTTTTGTTTGTTTTCAGATTTAATGTTTATGCTTGTAAGAAATACATTTTAACAACAACATTTTTGTTTTTCTGTAGTTTTTTATTTGTATTTAACCACAGGTTTTCATTGTTTTACAAAACAAAAACATGTACTGTCCCATATTATCAGTATAAAAAAATAACAAAAAAACATCAGTGTGTGGACTTAAAAAAAACAAAACAACTCCATTAGTGTGGGTTATCAACCCAATTTCTTTAGTTTGCTACAAGTTAAATATTGTTTTAAAGTAACTGACAGATATATTTACCTTTAAATTAGCTGCTTTTTTAATTGATGTAATTATCAATATTTTCCTGTTTTAAAAACTTAATAAAATTATTCTGGTAATTTAAAAGTTTTAATCTTATTAGCATTTTAGAATTGTTTAAGTTACAAAAATTTATTAAACTATGTAGTGGTAACAGACCTCTTGAGTTATTTTTTAGAGTGTAGAAGTAATATAGTAATTGAGTAGTGTACAATAACAGTAACACTGGACAAAGCTGCATTTTTGTTTTGTTTTTTCTTTTAAATTTAAAAGTTTTACTAATAATAATTAAAAATATTCCTTGTTTTTTTTTTAAGTAGCAATTCAATTAAAGTAGCATTTACATTATTTTAAAATATATTTAATAAACTAAACAAATATTTGTTTTAAATAGTGATTGATTTCTTCTTTAGTTTAAACAGACATGATGGCTCAGTGGTTAGCACTTTGGCCTCACAGCAAGAAGGTCACTGGTTCAAGTCTCAGCTGGGTCAGTTGGCATTTCTGTGTCGAGTTTGCATGTTCTCCCCTTGTTGACGTGGGTTTCCTCTGGGTGCTCTGGTTTCCCCCACAGTCCAAAATAGAGAACTGTACGGGACTAAATTTTGAATCCCGCTCCAGCCAGGTTTTAGTCCAAACCCGACCGCTCCCGCTTATATTCATCACTTGTTGTCCAGCCGCGCCCGTCAGCGGAAACGGGAGAACAAAACCGAAAACCACCCAGCTATACAGAGTCCCGGCAGCCTATAACATGCTGTCTGTATAAACACACACACACATAAGCACCAAGCAAGTGACACACAGACTGACAGCATCACACTCTCTCTCATTCACACACACACACACACGCACACACACATAGACAGCAACAAACAACTTAAACACAGCATCATGCTCTCTCATTCACACACATACATACGTGTGCTCGCTCACTCGGGAGTCGGGAGCGATATTGTTAGACCGCCCGCTCCCATCCAAAATACACCAGTTACCGACCGCTCCCGCGCTTTATATTGAAACTTATTCCCGTGCCGCTAGAAATCTGGTCGGGTCTTGCGGTACAGCCACTGGAATGCAGACCTCTAGTTCAAACACACGCGCTATAGGTGAATCGAATAAGCTAAACTGGCTGTCGTGTATAAGTATTTGTGTGTGAATGATAGTGTATGGGTGTTTCCCATTACTGGGTTGCTGCTGAAATGGCATCCGCTGCGTAAAACATATTCTGGAATAGTTGGCGGTTCATTCCACTGTTGCGACCCCTGATTAATAAAGGGACTAAGCCGAAAAGAAAATG